GGCTGGCTCGATCTGTGCCAGGTGCAGGGTCTGCTGGCTGGGTGCTGGCAGGCTTGCACCTGGCACGGGCACCGTAGCCAGCCCGTGCCCCTTTAACGGGTCCGGGGCCGGGAGGGGGGCAGACAAGTTTCCCTAGTGGTGCCCAGAATGGCCACCAGGGAAAGCTGGGGAGGGCTAGCCTCCCACTAGTTCAAATTAAGTGGCTACACACCCCTTAATTCAAACTAGCTAGTTCGAACTAGGCTTAGTCCTCGTAAAATGAGGTTTACCTAGTTCGAACTAAGCGCTCCGCTAGTTCGATTTAAATTCGAATTAACAGAGCGCTAGTGTAGCGCCTATGAAAGTTAATTCGAACTAACGTCTGTTAGTTCGAATTAACTTTGTAGTGTAGACATACCCTAGGACTGGAAGGGACTTTGAGAGGTCGTCGAGTCCAGTCCCCTGCCCTCATGGCAGGACCCAGCACTGTCTAGACCATCCCTGATAGACATTTATCTAACCTACTCTGAAATATCTCCAGAGATGGGGCTTCCACAACCTCTCTGGGAAATTTATTCCAGTGTTTGACCACCCTGACAGTCAGGAACTTTTTCCTAATGTCCAACCTAAATCTCCCTGGCTGCAGTTTAAGCCCATTGCTTCTTGTTCTATCCTTAGAGGCCAAGATGAACAAGTTTTCTCCCTCCTCCTTGTGACACCCTTTTAGATACCTGAAAACGGCTCTTATGTCCCCCCTCAATCTTCTCTTTTCTAAACTAAACAAACCCAATTCTTTCAGCCTTCCTTCATAGCTCATGTTCTCTAGACCTTTCATCATTCTTGTTGCTCTTCTCTGGACCCTCTCCAATATCTCCACAGCTTTCTTGAAACGTGGTGCCCAGAACTGGACACAATACTCCAACTGAGGCCTAACCAGCGCAGAGTAGAGCGGAAGAATGACTTCTCCTGTCTTGCTCACAACACACCTGTTAATGCATCCCAGAATCATATTTGCTTTTTTTGCAACAGCATCACACTGCTGACTCATATGTAGCGTGTGGTCCACTATAACCCCTAGATCCCTTTCTGCCGTACTCCTTCCCAGACAGTCGCTTCCCATTGTGTATGTGTGAGACTGATTGTTCCTTCCTAAGTGGAGCACTTTGCATTTGTCTTTATTAAACTTTATTAAGGACCAGCCGCAGCCCCTGGCCGATATAGAACTCAGACCGTGCCCACGTAAAAGCCTTGCTGTCCCCACACTTTTAGTGCCTAAACTGTAACGTCTCCGAGGGCTGTCACAATCCTCACTGCCAGGGTCTGCTCCCAAAGTCCAAAGCCTGTTCCTTCTCCTTCTCGGGGAAGCGGAGAGGGAGAGGCTCCCTGCGGGTTTCTGCCTGCCATGGGGTGCCCCTCACCTCCCACGAGGGCCCTTTTGGCCGAGCGCTTTTGCCTGCTCTGGCTCGGAGATGCCTTTTTGGCTCCTCAGCCCTGCGACCACATCACACTCGGTGAAATACCCAACCCCTTCCGGGGGATGTGCCTAATGGGCCCACCCCGGGGCCCTCTGCTGACACCTCCCGGCTGGGCCCAGTTCACTCTCCCCACTCCGATCCAGAGTGGTGCCTCCTGGGCAGACAGCCCCCTTTGCCCTAGCTGAGGGCTTTATCTGCCAATGCATGGCTCTAAGCAGCTCTCCCCACAGTGTCACCCCCTCCCCAGGCCGGTCAGTGACCCTGACTCCCTCTCCCAGAGGCTGGTGCTGCAGCATCTTATAGAGTCCTTCCTGGCCCCTGATTGGCTGGCTCCTTCCCAGCCCCTCTAGCCTCCCGGAGGACTTATCTATGGCTCTTTCTGGGCTCAGAGCCTGGTCCTCCCTGTCACAGCATCCTGCTAAGGACAGTAAGCAAGTCCTGCTAAGGACAGTTCTGGCACCCAAATAAGATTTGGAAGCATCCGAATCTCAGCCTGATTTCTTCGTGTAGTGTTGGTGCTGGCCAAGTGGTGTGTGTTAGTAAATGATGCATTTTTTCCCTGCCTTACTTTGCAGGAGCAACTGGTGCCTGCAGATGAGAAACGGCCTTGCCCCCTCCCCGGCCGTTTACACAGCTAAGGAGAGCGGCACATGAGGTGTGAGCCCGGGGCCACGCACGTCCGGGGGGACTTGCCCCAACAGGGCCAAACCGACGCCCCCTCTCTCTGCCGGGATCAGAGCGGGCCGCTGCAGGGCGTGGGGAGGGACCGCTGCGCCGTGGGAGCACGTCTGAGTGTGCATCCACGTTCTCACAACCGTCCAGTCGCTCTCACACCAGACAGAGCGGAGCACTGCCCAGCGGGACAGGCCGTGCTTTTATGGCTACACACAGGAACACATTCTTATTTGGA